TGGACAGGAATTGCCGACGCGTCTCCCAGCTGTCGGCTGCACGGTAGCACTCGGCCAGTGCGCTCATCATGGTTTCGTCGACTGAACTGCTTGTGGCTTCCCCTCCGTTACATCGTAAGGTTCTTTGTATGACACCAGAGGAATAGACTGCCACGAAGAGAGAACCACTATAACTTGGAGCTATGTCTTTTAGAAGTGTAGATAGACCTTGATCTGCCTTCCGCAAGTGATAGCGTCGTATTCTTTCACTCGCTTCTTCCCAAGGCCGTTGTAGCCGAGAACGAATGGGCCTGATTTCTCGAGTGCGCAAATAATTATTGAGTGGGTCAGTGGTCTTGGACTTTGTTTCGCACGTTGTTGTAGCTGGTGCGCTGTCAAAGGAGATTTCCTCAAAGGAGGACGAGTCGCCGCTAGGTGGCAAATAGAAGCTTCCACCTGGGGTGGCTGGGGCACTGTGTTCAGGACGAGTAAGAGTCGTCTCCTCAGCCTGGAACAGCAACGTCATTTGTTATATAGCGCACGGTTCATAAGGCTTTTCCATGTTAATATATAGAAAACAAGGCGTGGCATAAATGATTGAAAATCTTTAGAAACAACCATAACAATAGCGTCGCTAAGTATAATCAGGGAGTCTGATTAAAAAAGAGCGATGCAGAATAAAAGTTGTGTGGTGACTCCATGAAATTCAGGCTTTGATCCTGTACATATAAAATCAATGGTATGTGGTAGACTCCCAAAATAGCTAGTACTTACCAAAGAAAGCTCATGAATACTCTTTGAAAGGGCAATAAGTTGTGGGTCTTGGAAACGCGCCAAACCCCTTCGCCACCCCATGCCCAGCGAGGAACGATGAGTGGGACAAATATCCATTTCAGAAATGTTGGAAGGGAAACTGAAAATTGAAGACCTTGCTAGAATCAGTTCCACTTCAGTGTCTACACTGCTGCCGGTCATCAGCCCAAGAGAGCTTTTGTGGCGGTGATATATCTTTGTTACAAGTTAGCAAGGGAACTAAATCTTGGACTTTAGTGCTTCGAGGGTCTTGACCGCATCTTGGCCACCAACTAGCTTAGCCGCTGAAACGAGCAATTTCTCTCCATTTTCCAATTCTTTAACCGATGACGCAGTGCAAATGACACAATCTCGGCAGAAGTAAACACATGCATCCTAATTACTCGGGATGCCGAACTATAAATAATGTTTGATTTCAATTTTTTTTTGGACAAAGTGAGCGCTCAAGTTATACAATGCACTTTAACAGACCTAAACTCACTTTCCTGCATATATCTTTGTAAATTTGTAAAGATTTTAATCCAGTGGAGTTTGTCCGCGTAATAAGGTTTGCTGAGTTTAAGAAACAGTTAGGAGCCTCGCACGTGCTAACTTCGCTTATCGGGAAAGCGATCGACAAGTTCGATTTTAAAAGATAACAGCTCGAACTCTATGAGAATTCTATATTTAGAACTTTTAGAAAGGTAAACAAAGCGTTTGCCATAGATATATTTGCGTTTGGTAATTATCTGTTTTAAACTTAGATCTCTCTTGATGGCAACCCTCAAAACAGTTTTACGTGCTCGTATGAAAAGAAACATGTCTTGTGCGAACCCAAAAGCAAATCATTTTCAGTTTCCGAAGGGACAGTTTTCGAAGAATCATATAAAAGCGTGCGTCTACTTCTGCATCGAAATGTATCTCGTTGAATATAATTCCTAAAAAGTTAGATGCACCACGAAGAGGACCTATTTGTGTGTCCACCTGCCATGGGCAAATTGGTAAATATAATTAATACAAATTACAAAGTCTCGCTTT